ATATATATATATATATATATATATATATATATACATACTACATTTAGTCTTGAAAAAGTCAAAATACCAATGAAAATCATCAAATCGTTATTGATGTGTCAAATTGTCGCGTTATAAATTGTATTCACTAGAAGACGGATTAAAGGTCAAAATCGCCCTCATGGGGCGATTTGGAAAAAATGAGGGTGATTTCATATATGTCAGATGTAATATGTGAATTTTGTTTCTCAAATGGTATACATGTGGGACTCATCCGTACCTTATAATCAAAATCGCCATCCAGGGGTGATTTTGATGGTCATGTTGTATAAAATGGTCATTTTGGGTAATTTCTCCAATTTAAAAACCAGTTTCATATCTTGTTTCATATATGAAACAATACGTATGAAAATGCAGTGTCTATAGAGTGTTGTTCATATCTGAAAACATTGACAACTGTTTGTTTTACACGCCAAACAGTTCTGAACATTTTGCATATGAAAAAAACACTGCATAAACGTTGTATTTTCACATGTGTTGTTTCGTATGTTAAAATGACACAAGAAAACTGGTTTGTAAATTTGTAGGATTTATTAGATTCATACATGATTATACGTTTTATCACCATAACCGCTATCATATCATTTATGAATTTAACTTGTATTATTAGTACATTCTAATTAGTTTGAGCCAACAAGTTTTTTGATAGAATGAAATAGAATTAGAAAGCTTTTGCCAAACTAATGGAAAAATATAAAAGATAAATAGTTTTTGCTAACAAATGTCTTCCAGCCCCCAAAATACGAAGCATTTGATAGAGAGCGGATTAGAATTAAAAGGTATTAAGTGATACGTTTACCAGTTAAAATTTCAGAAGACATTTAGAGCTTTTAAGCTCTTATTTTAGAAATAAAACAAACAATCTTAATACTCAAACGTCTGAACGAATCAGACTTTAAATATATTAAGAGGTAATTTTGAAAAAACAAACAAACCCATTACCCCAATTCATCTGTTACAAAAACTTGCCCCAAAATTACCAAAAATATACATGTATCCTGTCTTACAAACATTTAATTACAAAAATGAGAAACGATGATTGGGCCCAAACAAAGCAATTGGGCTAAATGTTCCAAACAAGCTATAAATGCATTTGAAAAGGTCATTTGTTATAGGAATAGTTATTTGCCCTGACCCGATAGGAAATCCGGCTCACATGATCCATATATATATATATATATATATATATATATATATATATATAGGGGCCTATTCAAGAGAAAACTGAGTTGTTTGTGGTAACTGTGAGAACCAATATTAA